TCACTTTAGAAACTTTGTCAGTGTCCATTTGAGGTATTCAAAAATGTTTCAGAAACTCTACAGGTAGTCTTAAGTAACAGACTTTAGTGTCACCTGCTTTTATGTGAACATTGTGATCTGTGAAAGCAACATGTGACTCTGTTGGATTACTTAGCAGTCAGATCAAACAGGCTTTTTAATTGAGCTTGTGTTAGCTAAAACCTTGGGAGCTTTTTTTCCCCCTGTGGCACTGATAAATTGAACCCAGGGCCTCTGCACTGAGCTGCATCTCTACCCCTTTTTGAGACAAGGTCTCACTAATGCTTGGGTTGAGCTCTAACTTGTAGTCCTTTTCCCTAAGCCTTCCAAGCAGTTGGGATCACAGGCTTGTGCCTCCATACCTGACAAACTTGAGATCTTTTTATCTCTGAGACAGGCTGTACTCTGTACTTTTGCTATCTTGATCAACCTTAATCAAGTGTGTAAAGTGACACATCATTTTTCTTTCCATCCATTTTCATAGTCCACAGTCTAAACTGTGAGAATTTAGAATGTTACTTTATCTTGTAAATCTGTGCCAGTGATGTGAACCTTTTAGAGCTTTCAGTGATACAATCAACCTGCTAGGGCACACCTGCCATAGGTTCACCACCAGTGGTTTGTGCTAGCTCCCCACTTTTAGTTGTCCATGCACTTGGTTAGGATATCTTTGGCTGAGTCATCCAAACGATGCATTTTAAAATGGTAAAGTTAGCCTGGTATGGTGGTACACACCTGTAATCCCAGCACATGGGAGGCTAAGGCAGGAAGATTGCCACAAATTTGAGGCCAGCCTGAACTACATAGTGAGTTCAAGCCCAGCCTGGACTATATAGCAAGACTTGCTCAAAAAAAATGCTAAAGTTTATAGGGCTATTTGTAGGTTAACATTGTTCTACACTATTTGAGGGTGATATTCAACAAGTGTGAATCTGTAAAACTGTTGTCATGCGCCTTCCTGCTCAAAGTGATTCTGCGTTCAGCAGCAGCACCTGAGGCTTATTAAAAATTGCAAAATCACAGATCCTACCACCAAACTACTGAATCAGAATCTGTATCTTAATGAGATTTCCAGATTCCCATTTGCTAACATTTAAGAATCCCTGGAGTAGCCTACATTTCTCCATAATGGTAGGAAGAGGAACACCAGATCTTGTGCAGAAAACAAAAAGTAAGTCAGCCGTGTTGTCCTGTAGAATTAACTGTGTATATAGCCAGTGATCCCAGCACTTGGGAGGCTGAGGCAGGAGGATCACTGAGAGTTCAAGGCCAGTCTGAACTACATAGCAAGAACCTATCTCCAAAAAGAAGAATTAATTGTAATTTTTAAAATATCTATGTCTGGCCAACCCCAGAAAAAACTCCCTAGGTGATTGAAATGTGAAAGTGAGGGTTGAGAACCACCCCTGTGGAAAGCCGGTAAGCTTAGTATGGCAGTGAACTCCCACAGCTGGGGTTTCTTCTACTGTTCTTAGTATATCTGATAGTCTGTTGCAGAATTTCCCAACTAATATTTTACCATCTTACCATATATCAGAGATTATTGTTATAATGTTATGCATTCTTGTCTCAATTCTCATTTTTCCCATTGTTTCCAGTTAGAATGTAATTTTCCTTATTCAATAAAATTGCAACAGTGACTCTACCTTCCATCTTCTGTTGATACACTGAGTCCCCTCTATACTTGAGTGCAAGATTCTTTTTTAGATGCTGTTTTTTAATCTTTCCCATGTTTTGCAAGTTTCTGTTCCTGTACTTTAATGTCTTTGATGCTATTCATAAGACTTTGTGTCATTCTTGTAACTTTTTGGGATATAAATTTTCTGTTACCTTTGGTTCATGTAATTCAAGTGTCAAAATTTACCAGAGGTTTTTGCCTTCTCTTAGAAGATTTGTTTTTGTTTATTGTTTGTGTTTTTGTGCTTTTTTGAGGGAGGTGCTGGGAACTGAACTAAACCTCATTGAGCTACATTTCCAGCCCTTTCTTTTAAGAGTTGTTTGTTTTTGTTTTGTTGTTGCTTTGAGACAGGGTACTGCTAAGTCACCAAGTAGCCTAGGCTGGGCCCAAGGCTTTGATTCTCCTGTCTGAACCACCCGGAGTGCTGTGATGGAAGATTTGTTTTTAAAATCTGTTAACCCTAAAATTATTTTTAGAACTTCCTACTGAATGTTTACATGTGGTATTTGTTCTAACTTTCACGTTACTAGCATTCAAAATACTAACTGCTTTTAAGAACATTAACCAGCCAGGCATGGTGGTGTGTATTTTATAATCCTGGCTACTCAGGATGAATCAGGAGGATCAGAGATGTCAGCCTGGAAAATTTAAGTTCTGTCGAAATAAAATTGAAAGGGCTGAGGGTGTAACTCAGTACAAGAGTGCTTGCCTAGCATGCCAGAATCCATGGGTTCAATGCTCAGTACAACAAAAATAAATCTGAGGCAAATATGACATAAGTGTTCATAAACATTGGTGGTCCTTGTTTTTAGTCCCTAGTCTGTATAACATACCTGAGTGTTCAAGCTACTGATTTTTAGTCTTCCCAGAGTTTCAAGTTATAAAAACAGTATTTGTCAGAAATGTTAAAAGTTTGTTCATATCAAAATTAATCTTAGTTATGAGATTAGGAAACTTTCTAAAAATATTATTGATTCTCCCCCTCCTTTCTTGACCTTTTATTTGTCTAAACAATGGTAGGATAGTTCTAAGAATAATGATAGCAGAAAGATAGAGTGGCACTCTAGGTATATCCATGTCTAAAGTTCTTTACATTCAGTGAGCGGGCAGAATTTGGCAAGATAGGCTTCTCTGTGTTTTTTATATCTGGAGGAGGGTTTTTTAATTTTTTTTCTTTAGGAATGATTTGTGAGCATTGTGGTACTTCATGTGTTATGTGTAAGATTAAATTTTAGTACCAATATAGACGGCCTTTATCCCACCAAACAAATTTTCGTATTCTAGTCTGTGGTTAGAATAACCTAAACTGGGTGGCTTTTCAACAGTAGAAACTTACTGTTGTTCAGGAGACTGGGAAGTCAGTAAACTGCTGTACTGACAAACTTACCTGTGAGGCTGATTTCCTAGTTCTCATTGCAAGGCAGTTGTCTGAGGTCTGCACTGTCATAACCTCATCCCAAAGGTTTTACCTTCTAATACCATCACCTTGGGGATTATGATTTCAGTATGTGAATTTTAGGGAACAGAAACCAAATTTTCATAAAGGTTTTGATACAATTGAATATGTAGTAATAATTTTGAGTACAGAGTTTTCTAAATACACATTTAATAATGTGAGAAGAATGGTTTGGGATGGTAATACTTTGCTTAATTGGTGTTCAAAGTTAGTGTTTGTTACCAGTCCTTCTAAATTCATCATTATTGCTGATACAGGTACTACTGTCTTAAGCAAATCACAGTCATACATTATTATTTTTGGCAGTGTTGGCCATTGAAACTTGCCATTTTCCTGCCTCAGCCTCCTGTGGAATTAAGACTGCAGGGATGGGACATATGCCTGGTCCACAAGTTTATGATTTTAATGAAGGATATTCACCCTTTAGAGAAGGCAGTTACAGACTTTAATTAGATTCCTCTAGAATTCACCCTTTTTTGCTGGGTATGATGGGACATACCTGTAATCCCAGCACTTTGGTAGGAGATTGAAGCAGGAGGACCCTGAGTTTTGAGTCTGGCCTTGATATTGTAGCAAGATCCTGCCTCAAAAAACATAAAAAGGACCAGGAATATAGCTCACTGTGAAGGCCCTGGGTTCAATCTCCAGCAGTATTACAAAAAATAAAATTTACCTTTATTTTGTTGTTTTGAGGGTTGAACCTGAGGCCTCATGTTTGCTAGGCAAATACTCTTATCACTGAGCTACATTCTCAGCTTGCTTAAAATTTTGAGACAGGATCTCACTAAGTTGCCCAGACTGGCCTCAAACTTGGTATTTTCTTCCCTCATTCAGCCTCCTAAGTAGTTAGGATTACCAGTGTGTGTTGCAGAACTTGCCTGTCTGGATGCATTTCTATACTAACAATTTCATATATTCACTATAGATAGTTGACTTTCCTTGCTTACCCCAAAATGAACTACTTGGAAACATGCTTTAGACAAAATCTCATTTTCATGAAGAAATATTTTTGATTAGATACTTAATTTTAAATTTTCTTGTATTGGGAGTATTGTGACAAGTCTTCAGTCTAATATTAATGTCAATATATTGTATTACTTTACCATAGTTTTAGTGTCTTTGCATAATAAATGCAATCTTTGCCATGTAATCATATTAAAGTAGTGTTACCTTTTCGGGCCTTTATGTGTGACAGTCTAAGCCCATTTTTTTTTCTTCATTTGACATCCATTTGTAGTGGGAAATTTTTAAGTGTCACAGTATGTTGATACACATGGTACTTGAAGTGCTATCAAGTTATTGGTGCATCATGGTAACTTACAATACACTGAGCAGCAATGCAAAACAATGAGATTGCCACTTACAGTCTGTAACAACTGCTTGGTTCTGCCGTTATAGCAAAAAACAGCCTTAGATAGCATTTAAATATGTATGACCATGTTCTAGTAAGACTTTGCGCACAGAAAAGTGGATTTCATTCATTTTTCACACATTACGAAATTGTTCTCTTTTGTAACCTTTTAAGAAAGTAAAACTCAGGGACTTAGGATACAGTTTAGTAGTTAGCACTGTTCCCCCAGAATGGTATGAACTGTTCTTAGATTGCAAGGAAAATAAAAATAAGCAGCATGGCAGGATTTGGTCAAAAGGCTATAGTTTGCCAACCTCTGACCTAATCTTTTCCTAGTAGTGCTTTTGTGGAGTTTTTCATTTATGTAATTTCATTTACAGTGTTTGAAGTCTTAAACTCCTTGTCTTAACCTGCATTCTGGATTTTTGCATAATTAAAACTGTTGTATAGAATATATAGTGATTTCTTGTTTTCAAGAATGGTCTTTCTCCTTTTAGATAATTTTCCACTTGTTCATCAAGATGGAAAACTCAGATTCTAATGATAAAGGAAGTGGCGATCACTCTGCAGCACAGCGCAGGAGTCAGATGGACCGACTGGATCGAGAAGAAGCTTTCTATCAATTCGTGAATAACTTGAGTGAAGAAGACTATAGACTTATGAGAGATAACAATTTGCTAGGCACCCCAGGTATGCTTCATGTAATTTAAGGATTTATATATGTATATTGCTAGGTTTTTTAAAAAACTACTTCAATCTGTTTTTAAAATCTTTTAGTCATTATGTAATATGATTAATACATGGGTATAGAACCGCATTTACTGATGTACTTACTACCTGATTCTATTCATATTTGGAATTACCCTTTATCAGACATTTTAATGTTATGAATTATAAATTTTTAATGAAAGAATTGCAAAGAATGGAGCAGAGTAATGCCTGTTATTAATTTTATTTAACTTGGATATATGGTAGACATACATCCAAGTGTGGAATCGCTAATGGGAACTTTAGTCCCTAGGATAGACTTAATTCTGTTTTGATATCTCTTAATTTTCTAAAAATGTTCTAATTAATAATCCTCCACAGCTAGCTGGTGGAATAAAATAGCAACTATAACTTTGTGCCTATTCTGTTCTACCTGAATAAGTCCCATTTGATCCTAGTTAAAACTGAGCATCTGTCTTGCTCTTCATTTTCTATTAACCTTTAGGTGAGTGCATAACTTTTGAAAATTTTTATTAGTAAGTGTTTGCAATATCTAATGCTTACATTCATCATGAGGACTTGGCACATGTACTGTACACAACACATCTTAATTCTTTCTAGGTCCCCTTCCCCGCCCTTTATCTTCTGGCCCCTTTCTCATTTGCAAAAGATCTTTGGCCTATTTCTTATTATCTGTTGTTTGGCTCTTTCATATATTTATACATTGGTTTTCTTATATAGGAGAAATCATGTAATATTTGAACTTGTATGTCTGATTTATTTCACTTACTGTTGTCTCAAGGGTGACTGCATAAATTTTAATGGTAAGATTTTAGCATGACTTTTAAGAAATGGAGATACTTTGAGCCAATAGTACCAGACTTGAATCAGAATGCCTTAGTTGGAATTGTAGCCCTGTTATTGGGTGTAGTGTCTAGCAAGTCAGTCTCTCTCTGACTTGTAAATAACAATGCCTACCTCCTAAGAGTTGCAGTTTTGAAAGGTTAGATATATGTAAACACCTTTTATAAACTGGAAAGACTTTTCTGTGTGACGCTAAGAACTGAACCCAGGGCCTCGTGCATGCTGAGCACATGCTCTACCAGTGAACTATACCTCTAACCCCAGAAATATATATTGGTATAAATAGAGGTTGTAGTATTTTGTTCCCAAAGAAGGAGTTTTGTTCCAGTCCCTATTCACTCCTGGGTTTCTCAGAGTTAAGAGTCACTGGCTTTCTTCCTTTTCATACTTTAACAAATTTTGCTTTTAACCTTTTAAAGTTTGAGATAGGTTTTTGCCAAGTTTCCCAGGCTGGGCTCAAACTTGCAATCCTCCTGCCTCAGCTTCCTGAGTGCTGGGATTACAGGCATGCGTCACCACACCTGGTTACTAAACGTAAGATTTCTTCTATAGCCAGTCCTGGTGGTACATGCCTATAATCTCAACCACGCAGGAGGCTGAGCCAGGAGAAGGGCATGTTTTGAGGCCAGCCTGTGCAATTTAGCAAGACCTTGTCTCAAAATAAAAATTACAAGGGTCTGGGTATGTAGATCTGAAATAGAGCATCCCTGCATTCTGTTCTCAGTACCACAAAATTTTTCTTTCATGATCACTATGTGTCAGATTACTGTGGATCACTGATGAAGTGTTTGTCATTCCTCTATTTTTTTTTTTTGCCGTTGTGTTTAAAAGTCATTGATTTTTTATTTGTAACTTGGTAAATAATTTTAAACTTGCAGGAGAAAGTACTGAGGAGGAGTTGCTGAGAAGACTACAACAAATTAAAGAGGGTCCACCACCACAAAACTCAGATGAGAATAGAGGTATATTTTGCTTTGGGAGGTGGGTAGAGGATGGAATGATAAGAATTTCGTAACAGTAAACGTTAGCCAGGGATTATATAGAAATGGCAAAAATTAATTTGGTGCTAAATAACTTCTCTTAAAAAGAGAAATAGCATTTTCTTGATATTTGGTGAGAATTGTTGGCATAGTTCTGCCTCACCTTGGATTGTTTGCATTAATTGGGAGACAGTGAGAAATAGCCTATCTAAATGTGATATTTTTCCTTGATTTTTTTCCCCCTCCATTGAAATTTCCTACATAATCCCTCATTTACATACATGGCTTCTTTACTAGCCAAAAGAAATGCTGCATTATCTATTGCAGTGGTTCTGAGTGAGCTGTAATTTTGTCCCCCTAGTGGTATTGAGGGCATTGTACAGCCAAACATCCGGATAGCCTATAGTGCACAACACAGCTCCCAGAATTAATGGCTCAAAAGTCAGTACTGAGAAATCCTGCTGTAACTTCAGGTTTGGAGTTTCTTTCCCAGCATGAAGTAGGGAATTTGACTATATAACCTAAGAACTGTGATAGTAGTTTAGTACTTGGGCATACCATTTTATTTGTTATGCTGGGTTTAGGCTATTCATTTGATCTGGTCTTCATTTTCATGTCAATTTAAAATCTTTTGGGCAGGGGTACTGAGAATTGAAGCCAGGACCAGCATACTGAGTTGTATCTCCAGTCCCTTTTTAATTTTTTATTTTGAGACAAGGTCTCACTAAGTTGCCCAGGCTAGGCTCAAACTTGAGATCCTCAAGCCTCAGCCTCCTAGATTACAGGTATGCAGCACCACCCCTGGCCTCAGTTTTAAATCTTACATTTTTACTATGGTTACAGTAATCTTGTATTTTAAAACAACTTCATATGAGTGGGGGATGTAGCTCAGTGGTAAAGTGCTTTCCTTGTATGTATGAGGCTTTGGATTCTAGCCCCAGCCCAGGGGAAAAATACTCACGTGATATCAAAGGCACTTAATCCAAAAGGGTAGTAGAGATAATGTTACAGAGCAGTTGTGGCAAACTTTCGGCATACATGCTGTGGCGGGCTATGTGCATCATTGAAAGAGCTATAAGGTTTGCCAACACTGTTACAGACTAGTGAAAATTTGACTATAATTTGTACCAGTAGCAGCACTGTACCTCAAGTAGTGTTTATATACTTTGATTTTATTAGTGTTTTGACAATGGACTGAAAATATATTGTCTCACTGTGTTAGGCTAAGCTCTATATATCATAAAATACTGAAAATAGACTTCTCCATATTCCCTTTTAAAAAATAATTCTAAATTTCTTTAGGAATGGCTTGCTCTTTTCAAATACAGTTGAACTTTTCTTCCCCTTATAAGTCTGTATGATGTAGTTTGCTAAGATCTGTAAGTGTAAAATTTGTTTAAAATTCTTAAATTCTTTAGTACAAAGTTTCAGAGCACTGTTACGTGATTGTCCTAATTTTAGTAGTTCCTTTTTCTCCCTCCCTCCCTCCTTTGTTTTAAGCAGGTGGAGACTCTTCAGATGATGTGTCTAATGGCGACTCCATAATAGACTGGCTTAATTCTGTCAGACAAACTGGAAACACGACAAGAAGTGGGCAAAGAGGGAACCAGTCTTGGAGAGCCGTGAGCCGGACTAATCCAAACAGTGGTGATTTCAGATTCAGTTTAGAGATAAATGTTAACCGTAATAATGGGAGCCAAAACCCAGAGAATGAAAATGAGCCATCTTCAAGACGTTCTAGTGGAGAAATTACGGAAAACAGCCAAAGGCAAGTGGAAAATCCACGATCTGAATCGACATCTGCAAGACCCTCTAGGTCAGAACGAAATTCAACTGAAACATTAACAACAGAAGTCCCACCTACTAGAGGTCAGAGGAGGGCAAGAAGTAGGAGCCCAGACCATCGGAGAACCAGAGCCAGAGCTGAAAGAAGTAGGTCACCTCTGCATCCAATGAGTGAAATTCCTCGAAGATCTCATCATAATATCTCATCTCAAACTTTTGAGCACCCTTTAGTAAATGAGACCGAGGGAAGTTCTAGAACCCGGCACCATGTGACACTGAGACAACAAATAACTGGGCCTGAGCTGTTAAGTAGAGGTCTTTTTGCAGCTTCTGGAACCAGAAATGCCTCTCAAGGAGCAGGTTCTTCAGACACAGCCAGCAGTGGTGAATCTACAGGATCAGGACAGAGACCTCCAACCATAGTCCTTGATCTTCAGGTCAGAAGAGTTCGTCCTGGAGAGTATCGGCAGAGAGATAGCATAGCTAGCAGAACTCGGTCGAGGTCTCAGACACCAAATAACACTGTTACTTACGAAAGTGAACGAGGAGGTTTTAGGCGTACATTTTCACGTTCTGAGCGGGCAGGTGTGAGAACCTATGTCAGTACCATCAGGATTCCTATTCGTAGAATCTTAAATACCGGTTTAAGTGAGACTACATCTGTTGCAATTCAGACCATGTTAAGGCAGATAATGACAGGTTTTGGTGAGTTAAGTTACTTTATGTACAGTGATAGTGATTCAGAACCTAGTGGCTCGGTCCCAAGTGGAAATATGGAAAGGGTAGAGTCACGGAATGGAAGAGGGAGTTCTGGTGGTGGTAGCAGTTCTGGTTCCAGTTTGAGTTCCAGTTCAAGTTCCAGTCCTAGTTCCAGCTCCAGTGGTGAAACTTCAGAAATTAGCTCGGAGTTGTTTGAAGGCAGTAATGAAGGAAGCTCATTAGGGGCCAGGCGAGAGGGTCGACACAGGGCCCCAGTCACATTTGATGAAAGTGGGTCTTTACCATTTCTTAGTCTGGCTCAGTTTTTCCTCTTAAATGAGGATGATGATGACCAACCCAGAGGACTCACCAAAGAACAGATTGACAACTTGGCAATGAGAAGTTTTGGTGAAAACGATGCATTAAAAACCTGTAGTGTTTGCATTACAGAATATACAGAAGGCAACAAACTCCGTAAACTACCTTGCTCCCATGAGTACCATGTCCACTGCATCGATCGCTGGTTATCTGAGAATTCTACCTGTCCCATTTGTCGCAGAGCAGTCTTAGCTTCTGGTAACAGAGAAAGTGTTGTGTAATTAACATGTGAACTCTCAGCTATGTAGCTGTGTAGTGATGGGCAAACAGGAATCGCTTGCTTTATGTCCACTTTTTGAGTGGTGCTTAAATGTAATAACATGAGTTGAGTTATTTCTTTCTGAATGAGTTATGTCCTTTCTCCAATTTCTGTTTCAGAGTAAAAGGAAATATTTTAAAAGAAACATTTAGGACCTAAAAATTAATTTCAATACCAGTTGAATTGGTAGCATCTCTGTTACCTATAATTGATTATGTATACTTGTCAGTTTCTCTTTTGTTATCTTAAAAGATCTGCCTTAGCAATGGCTCCTGTCTGTTTCATGTTGATCTTTATGAAATTTCCCATGCCATAGGAGAATGGGGTTATGGAAATTCCCAGTTAAGACTAAGTTGTAATGTGTGTTTCATAAGTGATTACTTAAAGTTATGCCATTCCCACTTATTAGTTAACCCAGATTCAGCCACATTCTCAATGTTTATTCACCTCTCAGACTCGATGATACTGGACATGTCAGTGTAAATAACACTAAAGATAGACTCTTCTAAGTGTATAACTGTCTCCTAAGCCCATTACTGTGGCATACTATAGAATGAGCTTATAGTTTGAGATATTTATCTTGTGGAAATATTAAAAAGCCTATGCTTGTGTAAGTGAAAAAAATCACATTCATTTGTTTAAAGATGTAAAGCTATTTTGTAGAGGCTCAGTACTTTTCCAATGCACTGTTGTATTAATGCATTAAAAATTGTAAAGTACCATGCTTAGAAATGAGAAAACTGCTTTTTGTGAGACAACATAGTAAAAACCACACCAAACAAAGTACAGAATGTGTAGATAACAAGAGCAGAACATATCTATAATTTTGTATGTGAACAGCTACTGTGACATGAAAAGGACCGTGCAGAATCACACCGAGTGAAAGACCAATGGAAATTGTGTATTTTAACTTGGATTTATGCAGGTAGTGAAAGATGTGAGTACAGAGATCTACGCGGAAGAATTTTTCGTGGAGACAGTAATGAAGACATTAATTGGTTTCACGTGGTGAGAGCAGCAGTAGCTTGACTTGATATTCTACTTGAATAGAGCAAGCAGATAAGCAAATTTGGCAGAGCTGTCTTTCATTTAAGGAAAATAAACCATTGCCACGTAGCACAAATTAAATTGATGTTTTTACAAGTGTGCTCCTCAAATTAAAAAAAAAACATGGAGGAAAGAGACTGTAAACCACTTTTAATGGAAGAATTGCAGTTGGTACAGATGTGTGCTAATAAAGTCTCAAATGTGCCTGTTTTCAAGATTCGTCATGTAACGTACTAGTGCACACTTGTTAATATTTCATTCCTTTCTGTAGTACATATTAGCATGTCACGTTTAAAAACCTATTAAGAATTAAGGGCTTTTTATCCTCCTTTGAAAGTTTATTACGTTGAGTTATTTGAAATTCACATTTTAATTGTGCTGCCCATATTTGAACATGAGACTGCTGACTGTATTTATGGACATGCACTTTATGTTTAGTAGTAAGAATAGGTTTGTGATATCCCCAGTAACTCTTGACCAATTTCTCTTTTGAGACAATTGGGGTCAGGGTTAGTCTGGCTGTAGAGCAGATATTTGTTTTTCTGGGGAAGGCTAATAGGCCAGAAGAGGAATTGAACACATCCGTGGCCTTAACAACAACCACAAAAAATGAGCTAATTACCCAGATATAGTTAAATACTCTACAAGATAAACACGTCTGCTTTCAAAATTACCTGGCTACTTGCACTGTTATCACCTTGGCTGTGAGGTTTATTTCACAGCTCATTCTGTCATGTTTTCTTCTGGCTTTCAGTCCTACTAAGTATCAAGGACATTGTAATTATGGTAGTTGTTTACTAAGGATATGTACTGCTCTTGCAAGGAAATAATATCCAAACAAAGCTTCACTTTTTTTTTTTAATGTAAGCAGATCTCACTGTGGCGCTTATGTAATAACTTTTATTTTTAAAAAAAAATTGTCCATGTAAAATTCAGGATTCCTTTATATTTGTGAGCCTCCTTGTCTCCTTTCCTAAGGGTGTAATCTATGGTTTTCAGATCTACAGGGTAGTCTTGATTGGCTAAAAAAAGTCCATTTTTCCTCTTGGAATAAAATGTACCCATGCTATAGGGGCATTCATTTTGATAGTTTAAAACCAGCGGCAGCAATCCTAAGTATAAATAAAAGTTATTGACAACAGGTACCTCCCTAGCCTCCCAAGATGTATTACTCACTTTTGAAGTATTAAAAGTAAAAGGTAACAAGCAGAATGCTGGTTATGAATGTAGATGTTGAACTTTTCATAAACACTGGAAGTAGAACTTTCATGTTTTTGGTTTTAGAATGCACATGTTGGACCTGTGCATGTGGACACTTTGCAGTAGGACTCATCCATTGGCTGTAGAATGAATGCAAGTATTTTTAGTGGAATTTGCTGCTTTTCATTTTACAAAGTCTATGACTAACGTATTTACTGCTGTTAGGGACTTTGAAGACAAAGGGGTTTATAGGTGTCAGATGTGCAATGGAGAACACAAATTGTTTTTTCCCACTAGCATCCAAACACCTATTGGGAGAGCATTTTCTTTCTTGCAAGAGACTACACTTCATTTTGTGTCTTTGCATTTTTTCTTTATTAAACAAAGGTTTTGTCTTTAAGACTTACTTTGAACTTCATGCAGTAATAGGAGCAAGAAAATATTGAGAGACTACATTCTTCAAAGCATAGGGAAAAGTACTGCAACCTGCATTTCCTTGAATATTTCAGGTGTTTATAAAAATTCACTTTCTAGTATGAAATGTTTGCAATGTTTTGCTTTTTAATTCCATGCTGCAGAGGTTGAGATTATTATTACTACTAGCAGACAAAAACAAGTTAGGTTGAAACTGCAGGCTAGCAACACTAGAAAAGAACCATGTTAATTTGGAATATTTGCTCTTAAAAGAACACATTAGTTACACCTCAGTCATGTGAATGGAGGTGGGGATTGAGAAAACTTCACATTAGTGTTGGAATGTAGGTGATAATTGCATAGATCATAAAACCTTTAGCGCCAGGAGATAAATGAAATTTTTGTTTTGTTTTGTTTTGAGACAGGTTCTTGCTATGCAGTTGAGGCTGACCTTGAGCTCTCTGTAGCCCAGGCTGGTCTCGAACTCACAACGATCCTCCTGCCTCAGCCTCCCAAGTGCTGGGATTACAGGCATGAGCCACTATGCCCGGCCACAAAATCTTTTAAGAACCTGATTATTGGAATTCACCCAGTCTTTTTAACATTAGGAAATTGCTTAGCTCTAAGTGTTACCTCAAGTAATGTCTCCCCCGTCCCAGGAAAACATCTTTTCTGTGCCAAGTATTCTTACTGTAGCGTCAGCGCCTCATTTATGAAAAGCTTATTGCTTAATGTGCTTTATATTTAACCACCTGCTTCCCAAGTGTCTACATAAATCGGTCACACACTAGCCATGAGTTTCAGTCAGTTCCCCTAACTACCCATGGAATAGGCAGATGTTGAAAAACGCTTCTTAAAAGCCCGTTTTTACAGCTTGCATTCTTACAGTGGCACCTTGTGGTTTTTGACATTTTTTTAAGATGGGAGTGTTTTTATCCACTCCCTTTTATTCTTTGTTCTTTGTGAACAAAAATAATTCGTAATCTGCCTTATTTTGTAAAAAGTTTTATTCTACTAGGTTTCCTGTCAAATATTTTACCAATATTAAGTACATAATGCCATGTTTGCAGGGCACTTTTGTTATTTGCTAGTCTTATGACTATGCTTATTGCTGTTTTGAGGTGTTCTGTACCTTAGTAATCAAGAGGATGACAAGGTACATGTTAAAAGTTTTTTTCTTTAGTACACGATTCAATACATTTAATACTCAATAACTTGTAATTCTTTAGTAAATTGCCTTTGAAATACTAGAATTGAGAATTGATATAAAATGCTTCATTTGGAAAGTTAAAAGTGCAAAGTCTGAGGAACTAATACATAACTTATTTTTAAATCAGTTTTAATAAGCAAAATAGCTATGAATTCATTACCTGCCCTTTGAATTTTTTAGCATTCTGAAATTAAGAATTCTCATCTTTAACTGAAACATTTCTAAAATGTCTAGTACTCTGAACAAGTGACTGTTATTTAAGTAACCCTAGTTTGTACCTAAAAGTCTACAACCTAGAATAGAGGTGTATCAGGGTGTTTGGAACTCTCAGACAATTAAAGAACAGGTTTATCAGTTTTATGATAGATTTCACATCTGTATAAGTGTTTAGATTCAAATCTAAAAGAAACAGACATACTATCCAAAACTCAGAACAACAGCAAGATTTTTATTAGGAATTGTTTACTAAAATTCCACGAGCTGCTTTATAGTCACTTGGGTTGACTATCTTAAAAAAAGACATTCAGTGAAAGTGAACCCATTATACCACTGTGCCTCATTTCAAGATTCCTCTGTCAGTTCTTCGTCTTGCTGATTTACTCCAATACATAGGTATGTCTGAACCAGCTGTCCAGCCTTAACTGTAGTGCCCTGTTATTAACATTCTTTTAACTGATTGGTTTGTATGTGTTTTAACTTTCCATTGTTTGGATTTTACCTCCTGGTAGCTTCATTTGTTTCTGGTGCTGCTTTTAAAGATGTAGAACCATGTGATCACATACCATATTCAGTAGGTATGCAGTTGGCCTGGCTATGTATCTGCCTGTTTTCTCCCAGGAAGAGCTGCTTTAGTATAGATGTTTACTTAGATCCATATAGAGAACTGGGGAGCAAACTTGGAAAGCTTTCTGAAGCCTATAAGAACCTGAAAGGATCTGGAGGGGGAACAGTAACAAAGGCTGCCTTTATGTCTTTGAAAATGAAGCACATAAACCTATGTTCTGTAAAGACTAAAGTGATTGTTACACCAGGGCTTCCTGACCTTTGGGAGAGACAAAACAGAGGAGCACAAAGTGAAGTGAATTTGGTTGGTTTGATTTACCTGATGTCATTTTCTTTCAATTTAAACCTGAACATAACACCCTTTCCCAGTATCTGTCTAGCAAACTCCTGGTTGGGAAGCCCTGTATTAAAATTTGAGAATGTACCCAGTTTTCTCTTATTTTTTGTACAGTGCTTTACACCTGCTAAAAATTAACTTGTTTAATGCAAAACAAGACCTTGAAAGGTCAAGTCATTAAAGCTGGTTTGATTAATAGTTATCTTTTAGGAAAAAGCTTTTTCCCTATGTAAGATGTTATACTACTACAAATTTAAAATATAGACTATCAATAAAATGCATGAAGTGATCATTTGTGCTTGATCATCTCTCCTTGGGGTTTTCTTCTAAAAAGGGGACTGATACAGGTTCTGTTGCTTCAAACTAATTTTAAATAGATTTGATACAGAACAACTTTAATTTTGATTTTTGCTACGTGTGTGGGCAGGTCCTTGGTTTATGTGATACAATTTTCATTTCATCTGTGTTGTGAATGCCTTAATCTTTAGTAAAATAATAGTATTACTCCAGTAGAAGAATCCCTGGGAAGACTTACATAAATTGACATTTTAAGTAGGTGCATCTTTGCTGTTGCAGCCTCATCATTACCCTGACCATTCCTTGCTTGACCTCTATGAGGTGTGATCGAAAAATACGCTGTTTAAATAAGTTTGTGGTAACACACGTTGCCATTACTCCCCATCAAAATAGTCCCCCTCACATCAGGCACTTACCGTTATTGGCATTTTCCAAAGCAGTTGTGGAAGTGTTCTTGTGAGTTTTTAGTTGCATTGTGGCTGTCTTGACATCCTGAATCAATTCAAAACGTTGACTTTCCATGTTCATTTTTTGAAGAAAAACCAGAAGTCAAAAAGTGCCAGATTCTGTGATTAAAGTGGCTGTGGATATGCAATAAGGATTTTTTTTTACAAACCTGCCTTTGTGTTGGGTGGCACTCAGCAGCAGCGTTCACTGTATATTTTATCACACCTTGTAAAAGACACAAAAGAGGACTTTGAGAACTGCTTCAGAAAGTGACAAAAACATTGGAATAAGTGTGTTCCAAATGAAGGGGGTTATTTTGAGGAAGATAAGTGGCTTACTATAACCTAAAAAAAATAAAAACATTTTTCGATCACCCCTTGTATATACAGAACTTGTCTAGGTGTGCTTGTAGAGTTGTGCAGCTTCTGTCTTCCATCCCTGCTTCCATCCTCAAACATGTTGCCTAAGCCACTAAGATGTCCTTGTTTCTAAGATCACATTCTGATACCTGAATAAGACTTTCCTTCAGTATTCATTTAGCTGGTGGTGGAAAGCCTTTCTTTGATACGAGAACTCGGTTCCTCTGCATAGTTCCGATGGGGTCAGCTCTTCATCTCATGACCTAGATTTCATGTAATTTTAGTGTCACGTTCTATTTTTTGAAATTCAGCATCTCTGAAAAGTTTGCACTCTAGACAATGTACCTCTGTGTATTTGAAGGAAAGTTGGTGACACAGAGACTGAAGATACCTGAAAAGGGTTTGATGTATCTGGATAGATTATAAACTGCACTCTTAATTGTCCGTTTTTTTGGGGGGGCAGTTAAGTTCAAAACTAGGGCCGTATGCATGCTAAGCATGTGCTCTACCACTGAAGGGCACCCCTAGCTTCGTAATACAACTTTTAAGAACTGTGAAAGCTAAAGTGCCATTTCCTTAAGGTCTTTGAGTTTAGTCAAGATTTAAATCTGACCTTACCGATAAATTACTAATAGCTTTATTACAAATGGCTAAATTTTTCCAGTTGCTGTCAGGCTTTATATTAAGTACAGTAAAGATACAGATGTTTAGTTCTTGGCCCAGAACCACATGGTAAGTTGCGGAGTATTTGCCACTCATATCTTTGATTCCAGAGTTTTAGGGGTGTTTTTCTTTGCTACTGGGGCTTAAACCCAGGGCCTTTGCCCAGAGCTATATCCTCACCCTTTTTACTTTGACAAGGTCTCATGAAGTTGCCCAGGCTA